GGGGGGGGGGGGGGGGGGGGGGGGGGGGGGGGGGGGGGAGGGATCGTCCATCGGAGTAGGGCGGCGTAGACACTAGCTTATCTCTTGGAACTATGGTAACGTCGATGCTCTTGGCTGGGCGTTGCATCTACCTACTGTACCTCACATCTCTTTTACCTTCAGCAAGGTTTGCGGGCAGAGAAATTTATTCAAGGTGACTCGCGCCTTTACGGGGTGTGTCTTGAGTGCGAGTGAGCGCAAGGGGGCGCGGCGGCAAGGCGATGGCAGCAGCTGGAGGTTCTGGCGGTTTCTTGTCGCAGATGCGTACCCAGGCAAATTCTACTCCAAGCATTGCCGAACGCCAACAACAGCAAATTTTTCAAAGCTTCACCACTCGACCACTAGGAAGGCAACACTGCCGAAAAGGACGGTTTTAGAATTATCTCGTCGATGTCTTTCCTTAGACGTGATGTTTGGCCTGCGCACCCTCCTAGTTGCGGAGTAAGAAAACTTTGAAAAACGCTAACACCCCTGTGCGGAGACCCGCATCCTTACGGTAGCCCATAAATCAGGAACAACAAGCCCCGTGAACAAACTTCAATGCGTCAAGCCTTGTCAGTACAAGACACGGGTGGTGCTCCCCTTGGCAGCTCGCTTCCCTCCCCCTCTCTCTCTCGCGTCCTGGCAACAACCAGGACCTATGAAAGCAATCGCTGGCCGACTTCTTGCATTCACGAGTCCGCCGCTCCCTCCTCGAGGAGAGGGCTCTTCAGGAATCAGACCGCTACGGGTGGGGAGGGAGCGTGAGGGGTATAGTTCGATTCCATCAGCGTTGGGCTCTCGTCGACGTACGAGGGAGAGGTCAGGACGCCACCGCGGGATTCGCTGCACCGTCGAAGCTCTTGCCTGAATTCGAATCGTGCCCCGCCGAGCTAGCGTTCACGTAAGTCTTGGTTTGGAACTACATGCACGAGATCCAATAGGTCAGCTACAATAGAGATAGTAGCAGACAACAAGAAGAGTGGCTCTGCTCAAGTGCAATAATCACCAAACTTGTCAATTTTAAGGGATGTCTCGTCGAATCCCGCAGTGTTGAGTTTTCTCGAAACAAGCGGTTCACCTGCAAACCTGCGTCCTTCGCAGTACATCAATCGTCACCAATCTTCATAGCACAGTGATCCTGGAGGTGTTGGTGAAAGTTCAACAAAGGATATACTGTAGCTATTAGATAAAATATGCAGTACAATGACCAAGTGGTTCATGCCGAACGCTCGTAAGTACGGCCTTCACGACAAATAATCCATTGCAATCCGTTGCGCCGTTCATCCCTGTCCCTTCTCCATGTGTCCCCTGATGTACGCTGTGCTTCGCACCGTAAGTTACCGTCCACGGAAGCAAGCCGTCTCGTGACCTCATCGGCAATTTCTGACCGCGTCGCCAAGCTTGTCGAAGAACCGCTGCCCGTACTCACGCTGCCCTACCGCGTCGAAGTGTACGGGATCACTGACATTGGATGACAGACCCTCAGAGGGCGCTACTGCCGTGAATGGAACGCTGTCAGGGATGGCTCGAATCGCCGCGATAATTGGCTCCGAAAGCGCTCGGTTTCTTGCAAGCATGTCCGGCGTGAACTCGCCCAAGATCACCGGGGCTTCAGCCGCCGCCGGGATGCGAGACCTCAGCGTGTTGATCATGTCCGCCCAGGTGGACTGATATGTCTCTTGGTCGATCCTTCCGGCTGCATCCCCTTCTCCCTGGTGCCATAAGACTGCCGCGACGCAGTTCCCGGTCGCCCCGTTGCTTGCGAGCGCGGCTTCCGTGCGCGTCACGGCATCTTCAAATAATCTCCCGTCCGGAGACCAGGGACCGTTCACCAGCCTAGTGGCACCGTATGCGGTGGGCACAAGCAGCACGTTGCGATTCGCCGGCAGGGTTTTGACATAGGCGCGTCCGAAGGCGGTGCCCATGCCCACCCTTGTTTTGTCGATAATATCGAAGTCGGCGTGCTGGAGACGTTCCGACGCCGTGATGACCGTGTTGTCCCGTGACCACTGCTGGATGCGCGGGTCGTTTGGGCCGTCGATATCTGCGTCGTAGCCTTCGCCCCAGCCGCTCATGTTCGACTGCCCCATGAGCAAGACCTTTGACGCGTGTGTCCCCGAGAAGACAGTAGGAAGAGAGAAGAGCGGTTGGGTTGTGGTACCAAGTCGTTATCGAAGGACCAACGGCATGCTTTGAATCGGAATCGCTTTGCGAAGAAGGGGGTCTCATCACGAGAAAACAGCATCCTTAAGCCAAATACTGAAGATTAGCTATATTTCTCGGCGTCTGGCGGTGCTGAATGTGCATTTCTGGTCCAGTGCCTCGTGGAGCGTTGGAGAACCTCGCCGAGACGATGACATGATCGGAGAGCGGGGTTTTCTCAGAGTGCCTCACCGCTCGGTAGTTGAGGAAATCGCATGTGCTTTCTTCGGCATCCTACTGCAGCCTTTCATGATTGCACCTTCCACGCTTTGTCGAGACCACACAGCAGCGGAGTGGGTGCGCTCACTAACCAACATACCTTCAGACGGAGGATATGAAAACCACGAGGGTTACACGTCTTACCAGGGCAAGCGTCGTCGAATGGCCGAACCTACGAACACAGCTGACGAATGATCGACGGATGCTGTGACAGAAGATTAGGCTGCTGTTGCAGTAGATTGCGCATCGTATGTCCTGCGTTCACCACCACTCACCACATCTGAACCAGCCACGTTTCTTTTCGCAGCGCAGTCGGCTGAAACTGAGCTTGTTCGTGCCACAGGTGTAAGACGCGGGCCACAAGACGAGGAAGAGTGTGTTGTGTGAGTAAAGCGGGAAAACTCAGCAGCACACTTTTCGCACTCTTCAGAATAACACAAAAATATTGGTGTCCGACGTGCAAGTTCTACCTATTGACCAGTGTAATGTGTAGTACTTACGAAGTACATCACGCTCGTTTCGACGTTCCTTTCAAATCATCACCACCACCAAAGAGAACGGGTTGCTCTTGGCATCCACATCTATATGCATGTCCAATGGAATAGTCCAGTGCAAGGAGTTGAGTTCCGTTTCCTTATGCGTGCCCCATCCTGTTGGGATCAATCGGAGGTTCACGTCTACACACAACCGGAACCGGTCGCCCCGGTGGTCTAGTGGGTAACCTCGCAGCCTGCTAAGGGCCAGGTCGTGGGTTCGAGTCCCGGCAGAGTGAGTTTTTTTCTCACTAAATAAATAAATCCTGGTCTAGGATGAAAGCGACGCGTTGCAAAGCTCGTTGTTAGTAAACAATAATCGACTTCGTAAATCGCGAGGGAAGGGATTGCTGTACCCTTCTCGCGATAAATATACCTCAGACAGGAACCGCAGGAAGGGGTCCAGCCCCCCCCTCCTATGTGACCCCGGTTGGGTCGTCTAGCTAGTAGAAGTGGAGGATAGATAGGGGCCAGACGGGCAGACGACAGAATCCGATGATGGGAGAAAAAAACAACAACAACGACACACCGGTCGCCCCGGTGGTCTAGTGGGTAGCCTCGCAGCCTGCGAAGGGCCAGGTCATGGGGTCGAGTCCCGACAGAGTGAGTTTTTTCTCGCTAATTAAATCCTTGTCTCCGTTGGAAGCGATGCGCTGCAGAGCTCGTTGTTAGTAAACTTGATCGACTTCTTAAGTCGCGAGGGAAGGGATTGCTGTACCCTTCTCGCGATAAAAATATCTCAGGCAGGAACCGCAGGAGGGGGTCCAACCCCCCCCCTCCTATGTGACCCCGATTGGGTCGTCTAGCTGGTAGAAGTGGAGGATAGGGGCCAGAGGGGCAGACGACAGAGTCCAATGATGGGAGAAAAAAATACCAACAACAACGGCAGTGTAGTCTAGTCAGCAACTTGCCATCACGTCAACAACTAAAACATAGACTACTCGTATCGCCAACTCCTCCCACAGCCAACCACCTAATAATTGCCCGTCGATGGCCATGTACATATGTACATAATGTGTGTGTATGGTCGCTCCCACCCGAAGCCGCAGCAGCAGTATTTATAGAATAGTTCTATCGCATACTACAGCTCAAACGCGGGGGAATAACAAATATCGGCGAGGATTATCGGCGGGTCGAGGGGCCCCATCGCGTATGAATCTTGAGGCAGCTGTACATGTTACTACGGTGTGGTGAATACTGCCGACATGTGGTCTCTTTTATTTGATGTTGTTGTGAAGCTCTCGAAAAGCAAACCGCGGTCGGATGTGCTGTAGTTCTAGCGCTGAGAAGAAATTGCTAGGAAGTTTCGCGGGGCGGAGATGTATGCTGCGGTTCGATGGTTCGGTGTAGCAAGCTATCGGTTGTGATGGAGCACGGGTAGTCTACGGTGGACTCAAGAGGCAAGGTGCAGGGCAGGAAAGAGTTTCTAGTTGAGCAACGAGTTAGTTGGGCCTCGTTTGGCTGAGCGGAAAGATTCTCGCAGAACCTGTGTTCACGTTCAACATTTTGGTGAAATTGAGAGCGAAGAATGAAATTGAGAGCGAGAGCTAAAAAAATTAAGATTCGGGTCCAGACGCCTCTTGCCTTCTTGGGAAGTAGGGGGCGGGCTCTTCCAAGAAGCGGCGCAAATCGAAGGTCTCATCTAGGCCCTGACCTGTTATGCATGCTTATATTTGTGCATAACTGGGCTATTCGTGCATAAGGTAAAGCCTAAGCTGGAGCGCGCATATATATATATATATTTTTTTTTATGCATAAAAGTGTGCATAACAGGGGTTATCGTGCATAACGGTGATTATGCACGAGTGAGATGGGGGTAAGGGGTGGCTCAGACGCTCAGACAGCTCATTGTAACCAAAACGGAGCTTTTTTATCCCCTTCAAAGCCTCTTGGTCTTGAAACTCTTTAGTTTCAAGTCCACAGTTCAGACGACAAATTGTAGATCTGGAGATTGGAGATTCGGTGTTAATTAAAAACATTCGTTGTTTAAACCAACCTTGATTACTGTTGATTCAAACTACTTGACTTTTGTACAAGAAGAGAGGAGAGAAAAGACGCAAAGACCAAAGACCGAAGACAGAAGACCACAGGACACACCGCACAGAGCGACCACCACAGAGAAGCGAGAAGCAGCGAACCCGCCACCAGCGGCGCAGACCGCGACCCGCGATCCACGGCAACAACAAATGGCAAGCGGCGCAGGTGGTGTCGTCGCATATGCGTGCTCTAGCTCCGACTCTGAGTCTGACATTGAAGCCGTGGTCACGACGGAACCAGGGGGTGTTCTTGGTGCCGGTGCTGCTGGCGGAATGGACGACTGGGCGCACATCTTCGGCGGGAATTCAAAACGTACTCCAAAGCAGCAGAAGGCGAAAGGTAAGCGGGATGAGGTACGGCGGAAGGAGGTCGCAGCTGTTGTCACCAATCCCACAGCGCCAGAGAAGGCAGGTCACATCGAGAAAGGGAGAGTTGTGAGGAACCACGCAATGGAGCGGGAACGAAATAGATCTAGGCGGGAAGAG